TTGGATACTGAAGTAGACGTCCTCTCTATATGGACCAGCTGTAGCAAATTTTTTGTAAAAAAAGCATGACCCAGACACAGAATGGGCTAGTGACTAAAACTCTATTTTCTACCTAATTTTTGTTGCTGGCCAAGTTGATGGGTCATAACAGTTGCTATAGCCTACAATCAGCCATTCTATTAGTTCGAATTGTTAAAAAAGATTGTGTATTCGACATAAATCAGTAATTTTGGTTAGCACAATCTGTCGGTGGCTCACATCAACTAAGACGATTTTGGTTCAAAAGCTGGCTAAAAATTTAACATGGGGATGGAATGTCTATAGGTTGTAGCTTTATCCTATCGTGGAAGTTGTACAACAAGGATATACAATGCAGTTGGAGGGAACAGCTGAGATTGTTTGTGTCGAGGATTATGCGGCGTAATTGTGATAAGCGGATTTGTGATACAGACTGGACATACGGGATCTTAACGAGAGTTTTGTAGGCAACAAAACTATTAATTTTGTAAAATGATTTGGTTTTTGATATTTATAATTGCTACGAATCAGTATGGTATAGAACCTTAGAGTAAACATAATTAATACAACCTCATAATGAAAGAACACGTTTAGTAAGTTGTAGTGTTTTAGATAATTTTCACATGTGAATATTTTAATGATGCTTCCGAATCCCATAAACAAAATAGCTATTTACATTACAAGTGTATTAAGACCGTTTCTACATCACGCAGGTGAATGTTGTGCAACGAGCGAAAGCGACCCTTATGAAAAAGTTTATATATGGCCATATAAAATTTTTTTTATCCGGTTATATTTGGTTTTGGACCAAATACAACCAGATATGATCATATATGGAATCCCCCAGATATGATCATATATGGAATCCTCTATATATGATCATATATGGAATCCTCCATATATGGAATTTTTTAATAAAAAATATATAAATAAATAAAAAAATAACAATTAAACATATTTTTACCTTAAATGGTATAAACTATAAATTAAAACTATAATAAAAATTTTAAATTCAAAAATTTCAAAACAAAATTTCTAAGCATCTGACTGGGAATTGAACCCGGGACTCCGGCGTGAGAGTCTGCCCCCTTAGCCACTACACCACGATTGCTTCATATCATGTGGATGATCAAAACCCATTACGAATAAGAGAAGCTGTATTTGGTCTCGTAAAACAAGATTTTTCTTAGACATTTTATGTCATTTGAAGAATGTTATTATTAATATAGCCTAACTACGTGACATTGATATTTGAGGCTGTTTGATAGCAAAGGTACAATTAATTAATTATTAATATAATATTCTCCTTATTTAGGCCTACTACACTTACAATTTTAAAATTATACGTCAGTTTTAAGATTTTGTTGCGTTATAATAAAATTGTACAATAGATGTATGTACAGGATTTTGTCATCAGGGTTCAAATCTGGATATTTTATTTCTTTACTAATAATTACTTTAAAGGAGAATTGCCTATATTATCTGCCCCCTTACTGTACCACATATCAACTCAATCAGTTAAGTAGTTTGTGCTTGGAGAGCAACAAGAAAATACACAAACTGATAAACTTTAGATTTTTAATATTATAAGAAGTGTTTGGGAGTTTGAGAGTTACATAATCCTAAAGTGGCAACAATCCCTTATAAAAATTCCAGTTATTGTCAAAAACTCATTTATAGATGAGCATAAATGGAAAATTATTATTCCATATATGAGTAATTTAATTTCATACCTGGGAGTCATATATGACCATATATAGACCATAATTCCATATATGGAGGATATTTATGGCCATATATGGGCAATATTTTCATATATAAAAAACATGTATGGCCATATATGAACAATAATTTCATATGTAGAAAACATGTATGGCCATATATGGGCAATAATTTCATATATAGAAAACATGTATGGCCATATATGAACAATTATTTCACATATAGAAAACATGTATGGCCATATATGAACAATTATTTCATATATAGAAAACATGTATGGCCATATAAGAACAATTATTTCATATATCGAAAACATGTATGGCCATATATGAACAATAATTCCATATATATACTACATATATGGCCATATATGGACACCACCATATATGGATACAACCACATCTGGCCATATATGCTTCCATATATGCTCATCAAAACCCATATATGGCTTTATAAAACCATATATGGAATTTTGATATGGCCATATATGGCCAGAAATTACTTTTTTATAGGGGGAGTTGCATAATTCACCGAAGTGATGTAAACACGCTCTTGCGTAACGTGTAACGTACAAGATTTTACCTGACCCGACAATATACAGGAGGTCACGAGCAATTTGCTTCATTATCCATTTCACTCATCTTCTAACAGTAACGTTCATTTTCAAACAAAAGCTAGGTTAGGAAATTCTTCGAAGCATAACAATAAAATTCAAGCACACAGCTGATTTCTAGCGTTGAACGTCGTTGGCTCCATTGAGGTATATTTTTTTAAGTTATCCACTCAATGTTATTGAAATGGGTTTCATTACCCCCACCGAGTGAGTTTCAACTTTACATCACTCGTGAAGAGAGGAAGTTGTATACATCACGCTTGGGATAGGGAAGTTTAACATGGCAGGTTAGGTAAAATAATTGATTTAATTTCTTGGAATTACTAAACGGATATTTTATGATCACGACTTGACCCTTAAATATATTCATTATAATATATTTTGTATTGATAATAAGGCATTCCTGTCACGTTGAAGAGAGTGTAAAGGCAGGCCGCAGCGGCAGGAAGCTTTCATAGTGCCATTACGCCGCCTTTGATCATTAGAAGTTATTATAATTAGATTCTGAACACCCTGTTCAGTAAGAATAAATACTCCTCTAGCTCATTTTTATTAAACTAGAATAGATTAAACAGTGTTTGTAGTCTACAATACTAGCTAGGAAGTTGTATTCGAAAAACCTTTTCAAATTTAGCGTTCATTATTTTTGTAATCGTCGTAAATTTTATGATATAGTTACTTGTCTTTACGTTTTGTGACTTTGATACGTAATTATTACTATTGAAATATAATTTAAGGATCGTTTCAATTATGTTTAATATAGCTTTTCTATATTCTAATCAAACAATGAATGATGCTAATAAATTTCATGCACTTACCTAAGTAGAGGTATTAGATTATTTTCATATTAGTAGATCTGTTTCAAGAAATCTTACGAGATAGTTCAACAAATCACTACTTATTTACCATTATATTTTTTAAAATTTAAATTGGAAAATTTGAAAAGGTATTTTTACCACACTATGATGTTTTTTCCAGTTTTTCAAACTTTAATTGGAGGCTGAAAGCTACGTATTGCTGCCCTATCCAACTGTCATAGTCATTTGGGTACCAAGCAGGTTTTTACTTCCTTAGGACCAAAACCCAGCCGTTCACTTATTTTCATAAAACATTAATGTAATTAAATAAACAAACAGCATGTGCATTGCAAATAGACATGTTTTATTTTTTACCACTGCCTAGGAACCATTTTATTATTTTTGCTGATTCCTCTAAATATTTTTCCACATAACCTTAAAGTTGTAGTTATGAAGTTAAACGGGGCAAAGCCCGCGGGTTCAACCAGGACGTGATTGAGCCATGCGAACGAGCTCACTTATGAAGTTAAACGGGGCAAAGCCCGCGGGTTCAACCAGGACGTGATTGAGCCATGCGAACAAGCTCACTTATGAAGTTAAACGGGGCAAAGCCCGCGGGTACAGCTAGTTGTATATATTTTCTCAATTTTTTATAGTTTGGTGAACAAATTGTGTTCGTACCACGGGCCAAAAAGGGTTTGCAGCTCTCGAATTTCAAAACGTGATCTTGAGCCAGCAACACTTAATTTTCGGCCATATACCTCTAAGTGAATCTTCTAAGTTAAGTAGGGGTTTAGCGAATTTCCCATAGCCTATAGGGAATAAGCTACTACCGTAGGTCTCATGGTGAGACCTGGACCCGGGACCGATTTTTTTTTCCTTTTTGAGGACCCCAGAGGCCAAAAACACAAACACAATCCGTTCGAATGCATATATATATATATATATTTATATATTTATAATATACTTATATACATATATATAAGTTTTAAAACTAGTCGTTTGATAATTAAAATAAGTTAAATGGGTGCTTATGATCTTATAATGTTTTCAATTTTTTATATTATGTTTCCGTTAGCACGAACTCGAGCAAAAAATTTCCGATTTTGATAAAACTCGGTATAAACCACGAATACTAGAAAAGTATTTATCTACTATTCGTGGTATGAACGTGTAAACCTACATTTATTCGAACGAGATCCTCGAACCAGCACGATCCGACCATGGGAATGGGGGTTTATTTAAGGGGTAAAAATGGGTTTTTTCCATTTTGGCCCTAAAAACAAACAAAAATGCAATTTATTTCTAAAACATTTTGTAGAGCAAGAAAAAATTAATAATTTGGTGTGATGAAGCGCTGTTGTATGCCTAACGGTTACGGAGAAAATGATAACAATTTAATTTAAAATTACTATGTTACTCTTATCGATAAAATGAAAACTGTTGTAGTTAACTTGTTTATGGGTATATGTTAGTAAAAATTTGTAAAATTTATTCATTTCATAGTTCACTATTAATTGACTTATGGTCAAAAAACACTTTTTACCTTCCCCACAGCAGCAAACCTAAACACTCGTTAAATCTATTGTTATTTAAATTGAGAACAAATTTAAATTATATATCAATTGTATGTCTTATTTATGGAAATATTTTGGTAAAAATGTAATCAGACAAGTTGAAATACGCTTAGTCAGCAGGTTTGCTGCGGCGGGGGTATTTTTAAACTATTAACTGTCTCGTGGGTTTATTATACCTTTCGTAAAAAAGGTAAACTGACATTTGTATGTTATTGTATAACTGACACTTTATTCATCAGCTGATTACCAACAAAATTATTTTGGCAACAAAAACAAACGCATTTACAAACAAATAGTCTTCTTTAAAACTATTTTAACGGTTTAGATATGCAATTTATAGTTGGATATCTCAAAATCCTTGCACTTATTGAAACAATGATTGTTATTGCGGTTAAAGGTAATAATTGTGAATATCCAGAATGTCCAGTAAGCGGAACTCATACGATGTGCAAATACCCAGCTAAGTTAGATACATCAGCTCCAAAATGTTCAGGCAAAGGGGCAACAGCCGGATTGACCGCTGAAGACAAGAGAGTGATCCTGGATAAGCACAATGAGTTGAGGCGCAAAATTGCTAACGGTGAACAAAAAGGGTTTTCAAAGGCAGCGAACATGATGCAACTTGCATGGAATCCAGAGTTGGAGATGATAGCTCAGAGGTTTATAAACTCCTGTGGAGTCGATGGAGACCACGACAAATGTAGGAACCTGAAGGACAACACTCCAGTCGGACAAAACTCTGCGAATTCTGTGATGACAGAAGGTGATACAAAAGCAACTGTTTTAGAGAAGATGGTTGAATCTTGGTACGACCCTCTTGAAAAATTAACCGACAATACGGTCGTCGATGAGTATACTAGGCCAGAAGACGTGAGCATTAAAGACTTCACTCAACTGATTTGGGCAGAATCCAACAGACTTGGTTGTGGATACAGAGTTGAAAGTAAAGTTGGGAATAGTCAAGCAGTAGCTGTGGCTTGCAACTACGCTACAGAAGGTAACGTCAAGGGGGATCCTGTGTATGTGAAAGGAGAACCTTGCAGTAAGTGTCCTAAGGGAAGTAAGTGTAGCAAGACATATCCTGGGCTTTGTGCAAAGGAGGTGAAAGAGAGTATCAACAAGGAACCGAACAAAAAAGAAGAAAAGAAGAAGGATGAAATAAAACAGCCTTCTGATTGTGACGTGACCTTTGCGAATATCATACTCACAGTGTGTTGTATCACTATCATTTTACGTGTTACATAGCTGCACCGAATTTAGGAGGTTTGTCAGTAATATTATTTATGCTAACAAAATATTCAAAATACCTAGCCTCATACTAGCTCCATCTAAACTAGTAAAACTTATTATTAATTTAGATCTTTGTCGTTTTTAACTCGTTTTTAGCAAAATATGCTGCTTTGTTTTAATGATATAAGGTAATAATAGCAGAGAAAAAATACTTTTCTTTGGAAAAATAAGGCCAAAACTATTTTAGAAAATTTCTTTATAGAGAAGTGAATAATTTTCTAATAATTTATTTTGTGAGGGTAAGTTTGTTATATTTAAATATTATAAAGTAAATAGTAAATAGTAAGTGGATGTGTAAACTATAATCTGATGGGTACCGTAAACAGGCGACCCCCTAACGGGTCAAGTTCCCGCAAGGCTCAAGAAAGGCCACACTTGACGTTCCGTGCGTGACGTCATAGCGATGACACGTTTCCCATATCTACACTGTCTGTGTGTGACAGTGTCGTGGTAGTTGTCGTCTGCCTTTGCAAATGCCAATCAACGATGTAAAGAACTACTGGATTGCGCTCTCAGTACCACTGCGGGCGGTGTTTGCGGTCTCGCTCCCCCCACCATCTACTGGCAGTAGCCGACGCAGCCCATACACTCACCATTGTAAAACGCACTTTTTAAAGTTGCTACTCTGTTGAAATATATAGATATAAAATACTGCTAATGTATGCCAAACCCTTTTTACTATTCTAAACTTAATGTCTTCTTCTTTTCTTACAGAAAATAACATATTTGAACTCTTAAAAACCCGACTACATCTGTCCAGTTTTTACCACAGATCTATGCTCGACATTAACGTGATAGGCCTACTTTTTTCTTTATTTTTTGTGACCCATTTTGTAAGATACATTGTCGTTACACATTGAAAGGAAAAAATATCTTGTTTACGTCAAACATAACGTTACGTCTGAGGCTAAAACTTAGCAAAATTTTACTAATTGTTTATGTAAAATTTGTTGTTTCAAAAAATAGGATTTCAATTATAAATATTGCACTTTCTATTTCTTCTTTGTAATCACTTATTATTTTACCATGTACAATATGGAATTAGCAATATCAGTTGTCTAAAAACATCTAAAAATCAGGTTTAGTGAATTTGTAGCTTTTAAAGAATTCAGATGGGCTATTTTCTGCAAGAAACAAAACAGACATAAAGGTTTAGGTAGTAAAAAGAGTTTGACAAGCGTTAGCAATACTTTATCCCTATATATTTCAACACAGCAGCAACTAAAAATGCGCGTTTTATAATTGCGAGTGTATGGGCTGCGTCGGCTTCTGCCAGTAGATGGTGGGGGAAGCTAGACCGCGCGGCCAACACTGAGCCAGCGATCCATGAGTTGTTTATATCGTTGATGCCAATGTGTCAAATCGCCAAAGTTGGTTGTTTATTTAAAATGTTTAATATTGATAGATCGTTGTTATTATTTCGACTTGACATGGAATAATGCATTAATATCGTACAGTTCTTGAGATGGTACGGTGAAATATATAGGCCTACAATGAATTTACAAATAAAAATAACTATTCTTTGGAACAGCTCTATTCGTAAGCTATATAACCTCTCCAACTCCACTTTTAGGGTAACAAGAAGCTCCATCCATACTAAATATTTGGTAACCTAGCCTTAAAAGATGTTATTTTGCATAGCCTATGACGCTTGATCTCTGTTATACCTACTCGTAAATATTTACCAAATGTATCAAATATTTCATATTAACTTAAGTTAATGAAATAATTTAAAGCGCTAATTCACTCAGACCCCCCCCCCCCCTTATAACATAAGCTCAATTCCTTTATACTTCCAACCCAGGTTATGATTTTCATAAAAAAAAATTAATTTAAAACTAAACTTTGCATTTTGTATTTCAAAACTAACTTGCACTCTGTGAATGGCTCATTCGATAGAACTCTTTTTGAATAAAAATTGGCAACAGCTGGACCTTGGATGGATTTTTTTGCTTCAGTAACCATGAAAAGTCCATGAAATTAGTTAAATAGAAATATTTTACCCCACACTATACAGTTTTAACGAGCTCCCCACACAAAGATTTTGTACAGAAAACAGCTGTTTGCCACCAGCTTGATCAAATTGGGTTTCATTACGTACTACTGTACTGTAATGAGTAGCCTATGGGAACGAGGCTTTATTAGGTGTTTATGGGGTAAAAATTGGTTTTTCTAATTTTTGCCAACAAAAAATTGAATTTCCAAATCGATTTTAAAGATCTCAAAAAACAATATAAAAAAATAGTGGATAGAATTGTTTGGGTGGTTATCAGTTACGTAGAAAATTCAAAGGAATCCTTTAATACGTGAAGGCGATTTCTACGAAACACTACTCCTCCGTAAATAATGTCCAGATTTTTACATACAACGTACCAAAATTAAGTATTTTTTATGTAGACGCCCCCTTTCACAAATTCATGTAATAAAAGGCCTCAGGCTTTGCCCCTTAGGCCATCAAAATCCCCATGTATTTCTTAAGATGAAAAGATTTTGTTCACTAAAGCAGACGAATAATTTTTATTAATTGCATACTAAAACAGCTGTTCATAGTAAACAAAAGATACACACAGGACCGTTCGTTTTCAGTTTCGATAACTGGAGTGGAGTGATTGATTACATTATCTTTGAGTTAAAACTTTTAAGTCATCGGAAATTATGACTGTTATTCGTTTTGAAATAACACCTGTAATACTTCGCAATTGCTCGAGTTCGAGCAACAGGAGCACTAGTGTAAATTTAAGTTTCCAATGTTATTATAGAGAATAAGTAAACAGTGTTTTTTTTGTTGTTACTGGATATTTGTTGATTAAACCTGACCGATTTCTTTATTTTATACTAAGCTATTGATTTTACTTAAAAATACACTTAATAACCCCCCCCCCCCCTGTAAAAACAATCATAGTTACGATGTACTCTTTCAACATAATGCTAGATTTTAGCAAGAGTCAAATCAGGCAAATAGAATTCGATTAGTCTGAATGTTTGCTTCGACGGGGATATTTTTATACTAAACAAGCCCAAAGGTTTGGGTTATAAAAGAGTCTACCCTATCCATAAGTGTGAGGGGTTATTTCATAAACGTTTATATTATTTATCTACATAAAATCATAAACCTACCAAATCATATTCCATATAATTTTAAGTTTACCTATGTAAAGTTTGAAATATGCCGTGTAGTAGTTCACAGGACGAAATTCACAGGACAATATCCACTAATATAAATAGGAAGCTTGCCTTATGTTTTCGTACTTTAAAATCAATTATTTAAATTATATTGAAGGGAATCCTGTCATGTGGTCACGAAGGACATAAAGTGGTGTAACCCTTTTCTTGTTATGGTACAAACTATTGCATTAGGCCCACAGATATTGTATATTAAATATCATCCATTTGATAGTTATCATTTTAATATAAATTTAATGATATAGGCTACCTAATGGATATATTGATATTAAAGCTTTTGATCTTCAGCCACTGTTATTAAAACACCACAAGTTCGTCAGTTAATCAGAGTTCACAAGTTATCTTGCTATTACTGTCTGTTCTGTTCTCAGTTAGACCATAGCAGTGATATGCAGTATTATGCTAATGAATTCATAACTCTATGAGTGGACATGGATTGGATATGCATGAACGGATTGTCAAGTTAGCAGTCGTTAAGTTCTGTGTTGGATATATATATTTTGGAAAAGCTATTATATATATTGCTCTGCCTTCATTCAAAAATATGTAAAACTCAACTACCCTCTTGCTCTATAATTCTTGACAAAGTTTAGATTTTGCAAACAAGTGATTAGGGTTAATAAATACTGTATGTAAGTTATACGATTAGTGCCAAATTTATTGTAAAAATCTTACAATCAATTAGATACAAAAGTAAATTTCATTTTTTACATGTTAAGGGGTTGACCATTATTTGCTATTATCCTTGAATGTTTAAAACAACTTTAAAGAGTTTTATAATTATGCGAGTCATTTGGCCTAGCGAGGTTAAGCCTAAGTAATTGCTTAGCATGAATATAGCATGATAATATGGCGCACACTTTTTACACAGCTGACACAATGAAATGTGTGTTCGAAAATGGTCAAAATGTTGCTCAAAAAAGTTTTAAATCAACTTTTATCTCACATAGGACTTTTATTTCTTCAAGGAATACAATATTCTTTAATTGTCATCCATATAAACACTATAGTTCGGCAGCTTAGAAAACGACCTCCTCCAGCATTGGTTTAGCATCAGCGCGCAGGTCGTTTTCTAAGCGGCCGAGCTATAAGTTGTCCGTCGTTTTTAAAAAGAAATTATCATCTGTTTCAACCACAGTTTCATTCAATGCAGTACACTCTCAGACAAAAAACAATATCAACCTAAGCACAGGTCAAGATTCTTTGAGAGACATCTACTCTATAACAGTATCAGGTTATTGTGTTCTGTCTGAACCCCTGAAAGTGGAGCAAGATAACGAAAGATTTGGGAGAGTGGTTATAGTATAGATGCATACTTTCAGAACAAGCTCCCTACACTATGAAAGAGTTTTTAAGTTGCCGATAGAATAGGATACTATTAAAATTTGAGTTTTTATAGTATTAGAATTTAGTTTAATTTTTTATTGTGACACTATTATACAGATTTTCCGCGGGAAATTAAGATGACATGATTTGATTTGATTTGACATAGTAAATAGACTATTTAAGATAAACATTTTAATTCTTACTTTTAAGTGGGTTTTATTAAGATTTCGTAACAAAAAGTGTAGAAAAACAAAACATCTACAGTGACTCTACTTCTTAATTGTAAATAGTTTAACCTAGATCCGCACATGAGATTTACTAGATTGTACCTGGGGATTAGGTTTTTATGACTAACTCGATTGCAGCCGAGGTTTCATATCAGACAGTGAGATTACAATATTTCCTGGCAAAGATTTTATTGTACTATATTTTACTATGGTAAACAATTTTAATAATTTGGAATTAAGAACTTTGCTACTCGTTCGTCATAAAAGTAAACAATGATTATAGACATAGTCCGTTTGTATTTAATAATCATTCAATACAATTATACCATA